ATGAAGTAAACTATTATTTCAATGCTGCTGGAACTGCTTGGGACCCAGTTAAGTTCACATGCGAAAAATTTGAATGCAAGAGAATAGAAAGCAGACTTGCAGTCTATATGTTGGACCCAGATATTTCAAATGCTTTAGCTGCCAAATATATTGCAGTTCCACTTATGTTCCCTATACACCAAATATCTGTCAAAGACTTTGCAGGTGAAGTTGGAAACCAAAGTGCTGACCCAGGTGCAAGAACAGATATTGCTTTAACAACTGCAATGAAACATGCAGATACTATGTTTGTACTGTTCAGACGAACTATAAATGACTATTCTTGTTTCTACAACCCCGGTATTAAATATCATATAAACATAGATGGCAAATATTATCCAAGAGAAGAATATTCTACAGTTGAGGATATGAGGTCATACAACTTGACATTAGATGCTATGAACTTTAACAACAACTTCACAACAACCATTAACCCTGAAATGCAAAGTTCTATTATGCCATATGTGAAAGTATGGACTCATACAGGAGGTCAAAAAACTCAATATACAAATGGAGACCGTTCAAACTTTTGGCTTGGCATTCCATTTGCTGACTCAGAAGACTTTATGGGTGGTATTTCAACTGTTGGTACTGTACAAATACAATATACTGGTGACAGAGACGGTCCAGATGAACTGAGAGCAAAGAAGTTTACAAAACCAATAGCACTTTTCACGGAAGATGCTCTTTTGAAGATTCGTTCGATGAAACCTGCTGGGGCTCCTCAGATTGGCATAACGACAGCTTCCATCGAGCAGATTTTGGCAGCAGGTCAGTAAGTTGTTCTTGAACTGACTTCTCTCCGTCAAATATTGACAGTACGCCAGTTTTGACATAATATTGTAAGATAAACTTACCTTTAGAAATATCTGTAAGTTTTGTTATATTTTTGTCTGCTTCAAGAACTTTCACCATTTCAGTTATACCAACTTTCTTTGCTTTATGAAATATTTTGGTTCAGCAAATATTGCTATTCTATAACATTTACCATTGTTTGTATAAAGAACTATTCTGTCAATGTATTTGTATTGTTTGTGTGTGTAAACTTTGTTCTGCTTCAATTCGAAGAGATACTCGAATACGTCCATCTTTTTATTCTAAGTAAAATGTCATTTCCGAAAAATAGAAGCGTAAGTGTTTCAAAAGGTTTAATGGCGGTGGCAGATGTGAAGTTAAATTCACCAACTCAAACAAACAGTCAAAGTGTTGTTGTCAATGTCAAAGACAGAGATGTTGAAGTGGGGAAACCATACGAAGACGAAGATGGTATAACAATTGTTCCTGTAAAAGAACAACCAACATATCCTGAAGTTAGCAGAGACTTAAGTTCTGTTGCAGATATTCGAAACGACTACCAACAACTGAAAGACAAACTTCAAACTCAGGAGAAGATTTGTCAAGCTTTAAGTATAATGTTAAACTTGGTCGAACACAACCCTGTAAAAGTGAACTCATATGTCATTGCACCTCATGAAGTCTTGAAAGAACTATTGAAACTTTTGACAGAGGCAGACGATATAAACATCAAAGAAATAGAACCCGACATTAGTTGCTGTGGTGTTTCATATAATGTCATTGACAAGATATACGTTATGAAAGGAGGTGAAACGTTGAACTTAAAGTATAGTTTCCCAGACGTCATAAAAATATTTGACGACCACAACATTTCATTAAAATTTATTTGCTAAGTAAAAATGTCAAAACTTCTTGAAAGATGTTTGAAGAAAAATAATATAGACTTTATTTCATGTAAAGGACTTTACACACTTTTGAACGATATGAAAGACCCTGTTTTGTTTGTTCGTGTAGACAAAGGAAAGTTCTATGTCTTTACAAAATATTTGAACTTCTTAGACAGAGAACTTCAAGAAACGCCATGTGAAAGTTTAGATGAAGTTCTTCTCCACTTTCAGAAAAACTTTTAAATATATATAAATGGCAGAAGATATAATGGTTTATACTATTACGACTAAAAACCCTGAGTCATATAATTCTATAACAACAAACTTACAAAGTCCTCAAGGACGATATTGTAAACTAACCTTAAACACAATGACGACTAAAGCCTGTTTTGCTCTTTTGACACCAGAAGACTTTATTGTTGTGAATGGTAAAAAATACTCCTTTGAAGATACTTACTCAGATATACCACCAACAGGTTTTGTTGACTTATTTAATACTTTAAGGACGGGTGTAACATGTGCTGCAACTAGAGCAGGTTTCATTATGTTTGGATGTCCGACTGAGTTTACTATAAACAATATGAGCTATAATACAAAACTTATTTCTGGTTTTTACTACCAACAGTTTCCTATAACAGGAAAAGGTGTCATACAAGGAATGTCTATTCCATTGACATTAAGCACACCAATCTTATATATTGTTTCAAACTTAGGTTCAAAGTGTTATTCGAATGTCGACAGAAACTATTATGACCAAAAGATACTTATGCGTATAAACAATACTTTCTCTGCTGGTTTGCCTATTGTTCATTCGAATGCAGAATTTTCAACCTTAGTGAACTCAAACACTTTGGCAAGTATAACGTTGACATTAGTTGACGCAAACTTTGTTCCTGTAAAACTTTTATGTCCTATGTATTTGTCAATGACGGCAGAAAGTTTCGAATTGGAAGATGCAACTGGTGAAAGTATTGTATTACAAGAACAACTTCAACAACAAATAGCTCAAGAACAACAAATGCAACAAATGGAACAACAAAGTCAAGAATAAAAAAAATATTTTTTTTATTTTTATAAAAATGTACAGAATAGATGTTTCAGATTTTTATGACTTCCAAGCATTCAGAAATATGTGTCCATTTCGAGACTATAACAAAGCAGTCGAGAATTTGAAACGTTTAGTCATTTATGTCGACTCTGCCCCAGAATGTTATGTCATGAAAGAATGGGATGTTGTCTTTAACAAACCAAGAGCAACAATAGTGTCTGAACAAGAATGTAGACAGAAACTTAAGAAAATAAAAGTCGTACAAGTTGGCATGAAGATGTTAGATGCTTGGGATATCTTATTGTCAAAGTTAGAAGATTTTTCAGTTCGAGGTATAAAGTTCTATACACCTTCTCCAAACTTCTATTCTATCTTCACTGGATATAAATACGAACAAGTAGAATGGAAAGAAAATATTATAGAAGCTTGGTTAGACCATGTCAAAGAAATTATATGCAATGGAAACGAAAGAGTCTATGAGTATATCTTATGTTGGTTTGCAAACATCTTACAACATCCAAGTGCTAAAAATGAAACTGCTCTCATTATAATTGGAAAACAAGGAACAGGTAAGAACACATTCTTTACAGATATCTTATGCAAACTATTAGAGGGCTATTCGAACCCGAATATGACAAACTTAGAAAACATCTGTGGCAAGTTTAACTCCTCAATAGAGAATATGAAACTTATAGTTTGCAATGAACTTCAAAGTATAGATACAACAAAAGTTTTGAACTCAGATGCTTTGAAGAGTCTTATAACAGACAAAGTTGGAGTTGTTGAAAGAAAGTATAAAGACCAAAGAGTTTGTGAAAATGTTGCAAACTTCATTATGGTTTCAAACAATGTTGTTCCGATGAAGTTAGAAAGTTCTGACAGAAGATATGTAGTTGTCAGAACGTCAGATTCTCATATGCAAGATACAGAATATTTTGACGACTTAGCAGAAACTTTGACATCTGACTTTTACAACCACTTGTTCTCATATTTTATGACATTAGATATTTCAAAGTTCAATCCAAGACAAATTCCACATACCGAAGAGAGACAAACATTGTTAGAAGCAAACAAGAGTGTATATGAACTGTTCATAGATGAAACTGACTTTGAGTGTTTAGATGAAAGGTCATTGTACGATTCGTATAAACAATATTGTCAAGAATATGGTTATATGGCAGCTTCTAAACGAACATTCTTGGCAAATGTCAAAAGTCTTTTAGATGTTCAGAATGGTGTATATACAAAGAAAAATTTTTCTGAGTAAATTTAAAAAAAAATTTTTTTTATCCGATAGAAAAGATGGCAAAATTCATCTCAGTAAATAAGTACATGACAGAGTCAAAGATAAGTTAGCTCCATTCACATATTTGAATGTTTACTTCTACATTTTGAAAAGTCTACATTTGACAAAATTTGGAACATTGCACCAGTTAAGTTTGCTGTTGTTAGAAAAAGTGGTGCAATTTGAAGACTTATACATTGAGGTATGTTGACAGTCAAAGAAAATTTTGACAGAAAGTTCTCAAACTCGAAGAAGGTAAAGCATACAAACTTGTTATACCTTATGAACCAAAGAAAGCAGACGACTATGAATATTATGAGTCTAAGATAGTTGAAGTTCAAGGTAAATTGGGTAAAAAGATTTTAGAGTCTAAGCCAGTGTTTGCCCCTAAAGAGGAAGAGAACATTGACATTGACCCAGAAATGTTCTAAAAATAAAATTTTATTTTTACATGTCAAATTTCTTTTTCTCTGGAACTGGTTCAGGTTCTTTCTTCTTCTTCTTCTACTTTCTTTTCTTTCTTTTCTCTCTTTTCTCTCTTCTTCTTCTCTGGTGGAGTTATGTCAAATTTGGCACAACCATATTTATGTAAAAGTTCTTTGTCCTTTAATAGCTCATCTATTCTGTTTTCTATTTCATCTTCAAGAACAGCGCATGTGTCTTCTTTGCATTCTAAGAACTTTTGTTGGACTTCATCTTTCCAATCGGTGTCATCTCTGTCAACAAGTCTGTCATTGACAAATTTTAAGACTGCTCTTTGTAATGTTTTATGGTTCTTGTCATATTCCCAGAAACAGAACTTTAGAACAAACTCACCTTTCTTGTTTACACTATGTAAGATTTTATGGTCGACAGATGTTTTGCTGTCGAAAAGCTTGTCTCGAATATAGATAGCGAAATCGCTAGACATTTTCTAAAAGATAAAAATTTTAATTTTTCTAAAAATATGTTAGAAAAAAAGTTTGCTGACATTGACAAGAAATTTGAGAATGTTTTAAATAAGAACAAGAGAAAGTTAGAAAATGCTCAGATAAAGCCTATACATGACAAGTTCTTATTTGCTCAGAATGGTATAACAGGTCTAATTGCACCACCTGGGTCGGGTAAGACTTTCACTTATCTTAAAATGGCTGCACAACAACAAGAACTAGATGAGAAGAACCCATTTTATGAGTTAGTTGTCATTTGTAGTACTTCTGGTCAATTTGACCAAACCGTCAATTCGTTCAAAGATATTATAAAGAAGTCTAAGTTAGTATGTATAAAAGACTCTGAGTTGTTAGATTGGATAAAGAAGTACCAAAGAAGAGTTTTGAAGTATAATGCTATAAATGAGTATATAAATTCTAAGTTTAAAGACCCAAATGAGGAAATGCAGAGAATATTAGAGAAGAAACACTTCAGAAACAAACAGAAAGAGATAGAATACATTTCGAAGAAATTGCAATCTTACGATTGGAAGACATACCCTCATAGGTGTCTTCTTATCTTAGATGACTTTGCTTCTCATCCTTTGCTTAAGAATAGAGAACAAGATATGTGTCGAATTCTTAAGAAGCTCAGACACTTTAACATTTCAGTTGTCATTTGTGTACAGACAGCAAAGAGTTTAAGTAAGGATGTTAAAAGAATACTTACTGACATTATACTTTTCCCTGGATTGTCCGAAGACGATTTCATGGAACTTATGAAAGAGTCCATGGCAGGTAAGTTTGACAGACATGAACTATGGGAGAAGTACAAAGTCATACAAGACCCTCATACTTCTTTCAGAATTCATATCTACGCAAACAAAGTTCAAATTGTAAAAAGTCAAGCTTGAAAAATGTAAGTGTTTAGTCTTAGTAAGTCTGTTGTGGTGCTGGGGCTGTCGGTTCTTCTGGCTTTGGAAGGCATTCAGGAAGAGGAACGTCAGTCATCCGTTTGTGTCCTGTCGGAAGGAAGAACTTTTCCAGTTGTCGGGAAAAACTTTTCCTGTCGGAAGGGAAAATATTTTTCTGTCGGATGGAAAAATTTTTCCTGTCGGATGGAAAATTTTTTTCTGAAGTTCGACCAAAAAGTTCTCAATTTTCGAAAATTTGAATGGTTTACGGACGGACAACTGGAAAATTTTTTCTTGTCGGATGGAAAATTTTTTCTTGTCGGATGGAAAATTTTTTTCCAGTTGTCGGGAAAATTTTTTCCAGTTGTCGGAAGGAAAAACTTTTTCTTGTCGTCGGGAAAATATTTTTCTGTCGGATGGAAGGACTCGGAATGCCAGAAGGATTTGACGAGGCAATTTACATTATAGAGCTACCTGAGCCATCTGAAGTCAAGCGTAAAAATAAAGAGTGCAATTTACTCTACTTGTTTGAAGTTGTCAAAATACTCTGTTATTTTTTCCTTTAACAATGGCAAATCTTCTTTGAAGGTAAGTATTGTACAACCTTTCATATCATAGTGTGTTTGAGGTAACGTATCTTGAACTATTTGTTTCACATCTTCATTCGGTGTCATTGAAATCGGTAAGTTTTCGCGATAGAACCAATTTCTGTCAGATTTGTAAATCTTAGCAAGGTCGTAAAAGCTTTTGTTGTTTCTTCTGACTAAATGCAACATAACCATATCTTTATCTTCTTCATTTTCCATCTCTTCAGTATAAATCATATACTTATAGTTCTTTTCCTTTCCTTTTGGTACCGAACGTGGTATTCTTTTCTGAATGCTTTTGTCTTTTGCTTCAATGACTTCATCTTTTGCTTGAAGTTTCTTTTCCATCTCTTCACGTTCTTGTCTATGAATTTCATCTAACATCATGAAAATATAACAAGCATAACGAGGTGAAGCCCACATTGCTACGGCATTTACTAAAAGTCTATGAACATACCAACCTCTTAAATTTATTGGCAAATTTTTACGATTTTCATGTGTTTTATGCAAGGCCGAGAATTCTCGGTCTAGAGAAATTTCACTCAAAAGTTCTTGTGTGCTTCGGTTTTTGAACCAATCGTCTGCGTGTTTGGTATCTGGAGCAAAACATGCAGTCAAAATACTTTGCATTTGGTACATATCGTCTTTGACCGAACGAATGAGACGGAGTTGTTTGTTAAACTGTATGTACTCGTATTCTTCATTTATAGCTTCATGGACTATAACTGTTGTTGTGTTCTCTGTTGTTGACATATCTGTCTTTACATACAAAATAAAAAAATAAATAAAAATAAAACTAACTTTATTTTCTGACTTTCACAAAAGACCAAAAATAAACGCTTTACATGTATTTTTCAGCAACTTCGTCAAATAATTTTATAGCTTTATCTATCTCATCTACTTCAAACGTTTCTTTACCTTTCGTGGGAGCACCATACATTTTCTCAAACTTTTCAAGTAGTTCTGTTTCAGCAGCTCTCATATCGTTAACAAACACAACCTTGACTCTATTGACTATACTGTCATATCTTTGAGTTATATTATATGTTCTTCCTATCTTATATCTCTTTGTATTGAAGTCCTTCGGTTTCTGAACGATGTAAAGTAAGCCTTCACTGCAACGTTCTGAGTCGAATGAACCATATGTTATGAAGTTATATCCAACAACTGGGTCAATCCATAACAAAACTATTGGTATAAGACTTTTGTCGATGAGATATGCTGTAGTTCCACAGAATCTTACCGATATCATAAGCTCAGGATTTCTTGTCAAAATTTTCTGAGTAGAAGCAATTCCAACCCAATGGGATGTTTTCTTTCCAGATGGAGATATAATGTCTGACAAAGAATATTTGTTGTATTTCTTTGAGTATCTTACGTTTAAATCACCAATTCTAACCAATTTAGTGTTATTGTCTATCTTTTTAACTGTTTCAAACTCAATGTTTGTCATTTCTGTTCTTACATACAAAATAAAAAAAAATAAAAAAATAAAACTAACTTTATTTTTTCTATCTTAAGGAAACTCATGATTTTCATAGAGTTTTATGCAAGACCAGGTTTTTTTCCCTGGTCGCTGTTCTTCACGATTTTCATGTGTTTTAGGCAAGGCCGGTAAAATCCGGTCTAGAGAAATTTCACGATTTTCATGAGTTTTAGGCGACTAAGTTTTTTTTCCCTGGTCGCTGTTCTTCACGATTTTCATGTGTTTTAGGCAAGGCCGGTAAAATCCGGTCTAGAGAAATTTCACGATTTTCGTACGGAATCTCTTCTCTCGGTTTTTCCGAGGGAAGCAAGCATATGCCATTTTACTCAGATTTTTGGTCATTTTTCAGCAAAAATAATGTTTAGGGTAGAAGGTTAGATCTAACCTCCTTTCTACCCTCTTTTCTCACCTCATGAATTTTCATGATTTCATCGAAACTAAACGTAAATGTTTTGTCAAGACTTCTTCGTAAATGTTTTGTCAAGACTTCTTCATCGTACATTCTTTGTCATGATTTCATCGAAACTAAACGTAAATGTTTTGTCAAACATGAACATACATGTTTTGTCAAGACTTCTTCGTATATGTTTTTGTCAAGACTTCTTCGTATATGTTTTGTCAAACATGAACATACATGTTTTGTCAAGACTTCTTCGTAATGAGCGTAAATCAGACAAAAATAATGTTTAGGGTAGAAGGTTAGATCTAACCTCTTTTCTAACCTCTTTTCTACCCCAGTTATTTTATAAGCGTTTTACATGGTAAACGTTATTTTTTAAATTTTGTGAAAACTCAACGGTTTGACACAAGCCCTAAAAATTATTTTACTCAGAATTTTGTTGCTGAATTCAGCAAAAATATATTTTAGGTGAAGAGGTGAGATCTCACCCGTTTTCTCACCTGTTTTTTCACCTCAGTTATTTTATAAGCGTTTTACATGAATTGTACGATGTATATTTGAAATCCTAAACAGTTTTGTAGCTTCTATTTCTTCTGTCAGTATGTCAAAAGTTTTAACTATGCCGAAAGTTTCTTTATACTTCTTCTTGACGTCAGACAGAAGGAAATCGTCAGCAGTTGGATAGTTTTTGTTCAGAAATTCTAACATATCCATTTTATCTTCTGCTGGTTTTTCTGCTTCTTTCTTTAAGTCTGCATAGTCGTTTCTCATACGTTCTATCTCTTTGACGGAGTAGTTATATTTCCTAATTGCTGCTTTACATTTAGAACATTGCGGGTTCATTTTTGCGTTATATTCTGAAACCTTACCTGCTAAAACAACTAAGGCGTCAATGGTTTTCTTCATCTCAAACATAGCGGGTCTTATTTGTTCGTTCCATACCTTACCTCTTCTATCTTTATCTCTTATCTGCCAAACACATTCAGCAACTAACGAAACAAAGTTGTCGTAGGTCTTAAACTCCCGGGTTTTGTAAAGGTCAGAAACATTCTTATATACCATGTCGCAATCTTTGTCCATAACCTTATGGTTGCAATGAAATCCTAGAAACTCATAGTTTACCTTTCGTATGAACTTCTTTATTTCTACTGAGTCAGTTGCTTTGACTTCAATTTCGTCAAATTCAGGAATGGTTAGTTTTTGTTGTTGGATTTCAGGCAATTTGGGTAAATGGTCGATGAGGTCCTGCATTTCATAAAGATACTGTTCTTTGTTTCATTCCTGTGCGGTACAGTCTAAATTAGATGTTAAAAGTTCTTGCTTATCTTCTGGATTTCTGTTTCAAAAGTATATGAAGAAGGAATGAAGCTTTTCATTTCTACTAACATTGAAGTTGGGTTTCATAACTAACGAGTTTGGTGCTGTTGTTGCTAACATGTTCTTACATATAAATAAAAAAAATATATTTTTTTAAAAAAACTAACTTTATTTTTTATTTCGGGAAAATTCATGAAAATTCAAGAGGTAGAAATGAGGGTAGAAAAAGAGGTTAGATCTAACCTTCTACCCTAAATTATATTTTTTGCTGAATTCATGATTTTGGTTGAAAGAATACGGTGGAGCCAAAAGTGGCTCGACCTCAAAACAAGCATTTTGTGAAGAATAATACAAAATTCAACGGGTGAGAAAAGAGGTGAGAAAACAGGTGAGATCTCACCTTCTACCCTAAACATTATTTTTGTGCTATGTTTCTGTATAAAATTCATGACAAAATTCAAGAGGTGAAAAAAGAGGTGAAAAACAGGTGAGATCTCACTCTTACCTAAATTATATTTTTCAATACTTTTTCAGCACTTTTCCGTAGTTATATATGAAAGACAATTCGAGATAAAAGTCATAGTACAATGGAATAATATGTTGGAGTGTGGTAGAATTTACGAAAAAGTGACACTAGAAAAAGTGACACTTAACCTTAAATTACCAAACACTATTTTTTGATTGTATTTTGTTATTTATATATTTATATATATTATATATGTATATATATTAGCATATATTTATATATATATATTTATATATGTATATATTTATATATGTATATATTATATATGTATATATTTATATATGCATATATTTATATATGTATATATTTATATATGTATATATTTATATATGTATATATTTATATATGTATATATTTATATATGTATATATTATATATGTATATTTATATATGTATATATTTATATATGTATATATTTATATATGTATATATTTATATATGTATATATTTATATATGTATATATTTATATATGTATATATTTATTAGAAACTGCTTCATGCTGCATTGAGTATTGTTGAATAATTTGAAGTAGTGGTTTTTGAAATCAGCACCCCTATGAGAGCGCTGGCGACCGAAACACCACTAGTAAGATTGTGTATTAGAAACTGCTTCATGCTGTGTTGAGTAAGCTTCGATGTCTTTGTAGGATAGCTTTCTGAGAGCGAAACAAGATAGTGTTGAAAAAAATTTTGAAAATCTGAGAGACTGTGCAAGAGCCAACGACCAAAACACTACCAGTAAGATACAGCAGTAGTAGCTGCTTCATGCTGCATTGAGTATTGTTGAATAATTTGAAGTAGTGGTTTTTGAAATCAGCACCCCTATGAGAGCGCTGGCGACCGAAACACCACTAGTAAGATTGTGTATTAGAACTGCTTCATGCTGTGTTGAGTAAGCTTCGATGTCTTTGTAGGATAGCTTTCTGAGAGCGAAACAAGATAGTGTTTGAAAAAAAAATTTTGAAAATCTGAGAGACTGTGCAAGAGCCAACGACCAAAACACTACCAGTAAGATACAGCAGTAGTAGCTGCTTCATGCTGCATTGAGTATTGTTGAATAATTTGAAGTAGTGGTTTTTGAAATCAGCACCCCTATGAGAGCGCTGGCGACCGAAACACACTAGTAAGATTGTGTATTAGAAACTGCTTCATGCTGTGTTGAGTAAGCTTCGATGTCTTTGTAGGATAGCTTTCTGAGAGCGAAACAAGATAGTGTTGAAAAAAAAATTTTGAAAATCTGAGAGACTGTGCAAGAGCCAACGACCAAAACACTACCAGTAAGATACAGCAGTAGTAGCTGCTTCATGCTGCATTGAGTATTGTTGAATAATTTGAAGTAGTGGTTTTTTGAAATCAGCACCCCTATGAGAGCGCTGGCGACCGAAACACCCTAGTAAGATTGTGTATTAGAAACTGCTTCATGCTGTGTTGAGTAAGCTTCGATATCTTTATCAGACCACCTTTAAATTAACCACTCACATTCTCACTGTGGTCCATCTAAAATTTGTAAACTTTATGACATAAATTATATTATATGCAGGATCCCACCTATTACTTAATCTTTTTGGAATAAATGTTTTATAATATTTATCGATTGATTGTAATTTTTTGTATAAAAAAGTTTTTTATTTATATTAAAAATATATTCGGTTAATGATATTATCTTATAATTTGTAAATAAATCTAGTAATAAAATAACTTTAATAGTTGGTGTCACTTTTTCGAAAATTCTGGTTTTTCCTACTTTTTCAGCACTTTTCCGTAGTTATATATGAAAGACAATTCGAGATAAAAGTCATAGTACAATGGAATAATATGTTGCACACCATTTGTTGTGAACCAAACTTGAAAGTCAGAGAAACTGTTACTAGGTGGTTCGTAGAATTTAGAAGCAAAGTCATAAAAGTCCTTACCAATACATAGAAAACTATTGTTGCTTGAACTGAAACTTGCATGACACATAACATTTTGAGGGTCAAACACGTTTCTATAAACTGTCAAATCTGCTGGTGGAAGTATAAATT